GCCATATGACATTCACAAAGGATATCTCCCCGGTTGCAGAGTAATTGCTCTTTCGATCCGCAATGCCGACTGGTACTTCTTCATAGGATAAATACTCCCGGAGTGGAAGAGGTTCGTGGGTTAAGACATAAGAAGGGTCCGGGTTGTACTTGCATAGCATGGACACATGAAATACATTATGGACTTTAGAAAGTTCTGGAGGCAGTGCTAGTCTTTAGGCGGCAGTACCAATCCTGTCTAAGACTTCAAATGATCCAATAAATCAGGAGTTCAGTTTTCCACTCCTACCGAACCTACTAATTCCTTTGAAAGGAGTGACCTTAAGGAACACCTGGTCGCCTTTCTCAAACGCTAAATCTCTCATCCGGGTGTCTGCATAACTCTTTTGCCTACTGCGAGCTGTCTGAGTGTTCTTCCTAATACTAAATATTTTGGATATAGTCTCCTCTACCAGCTCCGGGCCGAACAATTTTCGATCGCCCACTTCTTCCCAATAAATCGGCGATCTGCATGAGGGCCTATATAATGCCTCATATGGATTCCTGCCAATACTCGCTTGGTAGTTGTTGCTGTAGGCGAACTCTATCAGGGGTAGATGGTCATCCCAATGGCCCCCAGAGTCAAGGACGCAAGCTCGGAGCATATCATCCAGTGTACGGATTGTTCTTTCTGATTGTCCATCAGTCTGAGGGTGAAAGGCAATACAAAGGGACAGCTTCGTACCAATGGCTTGCTGAAAGCTACTCCAAAACTGATAAGTGAACCTAGGGTCCCTGTCGGATACCACTGTCACTGGTACTCCATGCAATCTGACTATTTCTCGGATATACATTCTTGCCAATTTGTCCAAGGGATCGATCATCCTGATGGCTAAGAAGTGGGAAAACTTGGTAAGCTGGTCAACAACTAGCCAGATGGCATCATGTCCTGAGTGTGCCTTAGGTAACCCTATCACGAAGTCCATGGTGATATGTTCTCACTTCCACTTTGGAATCGGTAACGGCTGAAGTAACCTGCTTGGATGCTGATGCTCTGCCTTGACTTGCTGACATATTAAGCATTTAGACACAAAGCCAGATATGTCTCTTTTCATTCCATTCCACCAAAATTGGGGTCGCATGCTTTGGTACATTTTAGTGCTTCTGGGATGCATGACAAACTTTAAGCTGTGGGCCTCTGTCATGATGTCTCTATTTAACTCACTGTCACCTGGAACACACACCCTGTCCTGGAATCAGAGTAACCCATCGGTAGAGACTCGAAATTCTGAGCTAACTCCCTGTTTTGCATCGTTCTTGAGGGCTACTAGGGCGGGATCAGCTGACTGAGCTTTCTTTATTCTCTGGATTAACTCAAGCTGGACGGTCAGATGGCCCAAACATGTGACTCTCCTTAAGTCATGAAGTCGAACTTGTTGTGTGGCCCCAATTTGCCTACATTCTGAAACCATTAAATGGGCTAAGATACTTGCACTTTTACTACTGAGTGCATCGGCTACCACGTTGCCCTTTCTCAGATGGTATAAGATGTCACAATCATAGTCCTTAAGAAATTCTATCCACATTCTCTGACGTATGTTGAGATACTTTTGAGTGAATATATGTTTCAAACTCTTGTGATCGGTACAAATCTGAAAGGTCTCTCCATATAAATAATGGTGTCAAGTCTTCAATGCGTGTATGATTGCGGCAAACTCTAAGTCATGGGTGAGATAATTTTTCTCATGACTCTTTAACTGTCTGTACCCATAGGCTATGACATTCCCATACTGCATTAGAACATAACCCAGGCCTAGATAGGAGGCATAACTGTAAACTGTATATCCCCCTGATCCACTCGGTAAGGCCAACACAGGTACAGTAGTCAACCACTTCTTTAGTTCTTAAAAACTACTTTCACAGTTCTCATTCCAATCAAACTTGTCATTCTTCTTTGTGAGTCAGGTTAGGGGAGTAGCTAGACTAGAAAATCCTTCAACGAACCTGCGATAATAGCCCACCATTCCTAGAAAGTTACGGATTTTTTTAACTGATGTCAATTTCTCCCAGCCGAGCACCGCTTCAACCTTTTCAGAATTTACTGATACTCCATCATTTGATATGATGTGTCCTAAAAAGGTGGTCTGCTCAAGCCAGAA